TAATCTGACAAGGTGTTTTTTTTTTCTATTTACGGTACAGTTGGACATTGTTTTCATTACCGAATGCTCGAGTACTATTATATAATCATCTCGGCTCAGATTAATTATATCCATCCATCAGTCTAAATTGCTTTCACAAAAATTACCATTAAAGATTCACAGAAATGTTTCCGTTATAACGTTAAACTTTTAAATGCTCTCGAATACAGTTTTAAATGTCAATATGATGGTTGTGTTTAAGTGGAAATGAGAACAGATGGGTGGAACGACTCGGTTGCCTGTTTGCATGTTTATACAAAGCATGTTGATGTCATTAGTGGAACTTCGTTTGGCAATAATTCTGCCTCGAACATGTCAGGAGTATCACCCGACCACGATACACGTTACTATCAAAACATCTCGATGTGTAAAGATATTAACGTGGTTTAAATGACGAAAGTAAGTTTCTAAATATAGAAGCCGAATGTCGCATCCCCTACGAAAAAATAAATAAATAGGAGGAGGAGGAAGTAACTCGATGCCTTAAATGATAAATCATAACTTAAATATGTACATTATTTGCTAGAATTCTTCGAACTTCTGTGTATTTTTCATGTTTTTATAACCGCTTCAATTGAAATAGCTCACGTTTGTGGTCTCGTAACATGCTTCAGTTACTCAAATCTTATTAAAAATGAGTAGATATTTGGAAATTTTTGGATATATCTTTACATTTTTCTGAGCACCAAGCTATGCACTTGTTTGTTTTCTGTCTTGTTATACAGTATGTGTGGTAAATGTAAAGTAATACTTCGAGTTTTGTTAGGAAATACTAGTAGAAAAAAGTATGTTTATATCAATATTCAAGAGCCAAGGTCTCGATATACGAAATACACGAGTATCTTTTCTATATGTATGATGAATAAATAAATATATATATTTCAAGACAAATAAAATTATTAAATAAATCAGATACTTGTTACATGAGTTTGGGAGAAGGAGAATTGTTGAAGACTTCTCGAATAGTCGAAAAAACATAAGAAACAAATCGAAAAAGTCGAAGAAACAAAAAAGTACAATATACATGAATGTTAAAAACTTGTTTTTTATGTAGATTTAAAAATAAAATTTGCTTTTAGTTCTAATAAAAAAATAATAATAATAATTAACGTAAATGTTCAAACTTGTATGTATTTTTTAAATATTAGAAGAATTTATTGAGGGAAAGGGGAGTGTGTATATGCAGATCGTCATCTGTAAAAGTTTGCATCTCACCATGTGTACGCTATTAAGTCAACTTGTCTATAGTTTTAAAGCGTCCTCGATCAGTTGACACCGTATAGTTTCCCATTAGCTTCCGGTACTTAATCACCTCATTAACTGTACATCATTAGTCATCTTGACAGGGTCTTGGGGGTTTAATTTTTGTGTTACCCATCCCCTTTACCACCCCAATATCCTCTGGGGAGGACGTCTCTTCGGTAATGTTCTAGCTCCTGTCTCTGCCTCATCTTATCTGAGAGCCGACATATTGACAGGTGCAATGGTGTTTTCTGACGTCACCCTGCCTTTTTTTTGTCCCTTTTCTCCTATTATCGAAGCGTTTAAGACTTTCAATACTGCAGTAATTTGAAAGTTTGATTAGAACAATACATTTTTTTTCCTAAATATAATTTTCGATCAGGAAATCCCTCAGGAGCTTCGTAGAACGATTCTCTATTATATCACATACATAAATAATGCTTGCTTCTCTTCTATTTTAAGAAAAATTTAAGTTAATATCTGGCAAATGCGTATTGAATTTAAGATAAGGAAGTGTCAAACATAAGTCTAAAATATAATTCTAGTCATAATATGAGTTATAACTCCGCCACGTGAATGCTAAACTCTGTATGGAGGAGAATATGAAGTAGCTTAAGAAAGCCCCAAGGCGTAGAATAATAATAATTTCGGGATTTAACCAGAATTAATTCCTTTTTAAATTGCATAAAATGAAGAAAAGTTCAAGAATCTCGATAAATATATATGCAAATGTTTTCAATAAATCTGTAAAATTAAAAAAAAAGAAAAAAAAGAAAATAGATATTTAAATATGTTACTTGAAAATATACAAGTGGATCGAATTTTTTAAATTTTATCTTAACTTTAAAAGAAAAAAAATCATCTCCCCAAGCACTTTACAGTCTTAAAATATCGACGCTTGAATTATTTCAAAACTGCGAAAAATATTTAATAACATTCTAGGATTTAATCTGAACTTAAAAAAAAATTTTTCCTTATCCCCTTCGTACATTCCCTAAGGTGAAGAGCAAACCGAAGGGGAAAAAATGTAGTTCTTGCTCCTGGGCTGCCATTCTTTCAAGTAAGGAAGATTATTGACCTCTCTCACTACTACAGCAGTACGAATGTGACCCACCGCTCTGTTCGCTTCGTTATCTACTAGCATGTGGAAAGAATTCGAGAGGACAGCTTGCATATTTTTATCAATGTTCGAAACTATACATATATATGTACTGTCTGATTTACTATCGCTAAATTCTATAGTTCCTGTTACAGACAGACATTTATTTTCAATTTTTGAAAGAGATATCTATAGTCGAAACACAGAAAATGTGACTATATAGATAAATTCTTTATACAGAATATGTAAAATATTCGATAGGAGTCTAGCTATTGTCTAGTTTCGGCGCTCTTATGTTACGTTGGAAGGATTTTCGGGCGATGCCAGATTGACACGAAGAGCATCTCATGCATTTCAAAGACGTGAAAATGCTCGCTCAATTTTATAAATTAACGTCACATCCCGATGCATCCAAGCGAGATAATTTCTTTGCTCTTTTATAAACATCTCTTCTTACAGTTGACGTACTTCAGTTAATTCTCCTCCGATTTTTAGGGAAAAAAAAATCATATTTTATGCAAAGAATATCAAGGATGTGAGCCATTCACTCAGTTTTCCATGCAAAACTATATTGAAACTTTATAAAACGGCTTATAATACTGTAAAATTATGAGTATCTTATTCAAGGCCACTTTAAAATGTACATCAAAGCGAACTTATTGAATTCGAAATGATTTTTTTCGTAGATTTTACTTATACAAAGCATTAAAAAACTATTTTCCTGAATAAATTTCAATAATAATTACATTTAAAACGTATGTAAGATAAGTTACTCTCTCTTCCTACAAAGTACAGTAGCTAAGAATTGAACTATTAAACTAATGAAGTTATTACCATAGTTAATTAAAGTATATGTAGCGGCCATGATTCACGCCTAACGTTGTATTGGAAGAGAAACAGTATAAGAATATTTAACTTTCCCATGCAGAAATCGTTTAGATTGACACCAGATTTCTTTCGATTGGCTTCGGGGAATAATTCGTCACTACTGTGAATAGAACCCCCATCCCAAGTGACTCTATGGGGAGGGGTGATTTAAATCTCTCTCATTCCCAGCAACCGAGCGGATGTCTATTTTATGAGACATGCCCAACGCTTACTAACTAGATTACCTTCCTCTGCTCTTCTCCCTGCCAAGTTTATTCTCACGCCCAAGCGTAATGGAGGAAGCACTTAGCTTAAAATCTGTTAACTCGTCAATAGCGACTACCCGCTTGTCGCGTTATTAACTTGCACCTACTTTTTCCTCCTCCTCGCGCCTACTTTGCCATTAAAAAAAAGAAGCTGATTAATAAGTAAATTTTTATAATTAAAGAAACACTCGTTGGATAAAATTGGATGAGAAATTTTTAATAATATTTAACTGTCGAAGGGATGAAGCTTTATAATTTTTTAGTACGAGAGGAGGAGGAAAAAAAAGGAGAGATTAAAAATGGCGGTCGTAAATTTTGAGATTTTTATGATCGTTTCGTTTTGGTAGCCATTTTGTCGAAGTTGGTATATAGTAGATAATTAAAATACTCACTATCGTAAAAATGTTTCGTCTGTCTGATAACCATCTAGTGGCATTTTTTTTTAATTTCAAAAAATTGATCGTGGGGAGGGAAATTCTCCAACCCCCTCGGAAAAAAATCGTGAAGATTGCGTGTGACGACAGCATTAATCAGTCTAAGTTAAGAATAAGAAGAAGAAAAAAGTGTGTAAGACCATATGGCTAAGTAAAATTTGACCATGTGAAAGATGGAGAACGAGAAGTGTGTGTTGTGTAAAATGACTTTATTAAAGTGGGCGTCACCCCGACAGAAAGGTCGTCCTGATACCTAATCTCTCACATCATTTATAACGTCCTGCAGTAGATCCGTAGAGAGATATGGGGTTAAAAGTGTCAGCCACTCGAAATTAACGACGGTGTCTACTAACGAAATAAAGCCTTAGGTGTAAATCTCTCAAAAGTTTATATTTTAAACTTGATTCCGTAAGTTAAAAAAGCAAACACTACTTGGCAAGAATCGGTTTTTGATCCCTTATCGTTTATCGATTCCAGAAAAAAAATCCTATGGATTTTATTAAAGATCCATATTTTCTACACGGTGGCATAGTTTAACACTACGTTTGCTTTAAAAATAATTGAAATCTTATGTGAAATTATATCAAAATCAGTAAACGATTGCGTATAAATTTGTTTTTCTACCTCTCGGATCGTGTGCTTACAGAAAAAAAGCGATGAGCTTAAACTCGAAATTTGCAGAGGTATGCGGAACTTCAAGAGGACATCACAGAAAAGCCTCAATTGTTAAACTTAGGTCATTAAACACAGGTACCTAATCTTGCTCTCAATCCATTCAGTAGAATCAGCGGGGAAGAAGAGTTCCCCCTTTTGTTCCCAGATCCCTAATTACACAGACTATCCAGACTCCACCATCCCGTTTTAATTTTATCCATAGGCTTATTGCTTTCCAGCCACCTGGGGGCAAAATGCTATTTTTCTGTCCAAAATACAACGTAGTTATTATTTACGGCTGAAAACTCCACCCGAACTTATACTATTAACAACGATTTTCACAAAGAAAAAAAAATGGTATTGTCTGTAGTACATTTTTTTACAAAAATTCTTTTACAGGTTCAACTTTGTCATTCACAATGAATCTTGGAAGAAAGGGAACCTGGCTGACGTCATGCTTTCTTTGCAGCATGATTCTCTTTGCTTACGCAAGGAAGGGAGGTAAGCCACTTTTTTCCTTATTTTTTTTTCCTGTGAATTTCGGTCGTTAATTGGAATTCTATAATTGTAAAAAATAGTCACGTTTCAGTTGTCACGTCTAAATTAGCTTCGCTTATGACACCATGTTATTATGATAGCAGATTAATAATTTTCACTTATCTTCTCGTGATTTTGGAATTAGTAACAAGAAAATTTTCTAAAGAATATAATTTCGGGAATTAAATACTTTTTTTTCATGCGTAAAGATGTAGTGCAATGCGCTCTTTCTTCTACCACACCAGTTCTGATGTATAGAAATTTTACATAAATAATTTTCCTAAAATTCTTTTTACTAGAAAACATGTAAAATTCACGTAAAGAATTCTTGAAAATTTAAATTTAACAACGAAAATTATACAAATTCGTGTTTTTAAGAACACGAATTTATATAATTGCATCCTACTTCCTTTGACATTCGGTGCGTGTGTTAAAGGTGTAAAAAAACTCAGTTTTATATGTAGTTAAAATAGTTATAACAATAATTTACACAATAAGTCAGGTATATAATTCGACAAAACATTGAGATTTGCACGAAGATGCGAAACCTGTAATAATATCTTACGACGTTACGCTTAGTAACACCATATAAAAATGTTATTAGAACTAAAATTTGAGTGTAAAAATCTTAAATTCATACCAATAAACAATCATCTATTTATTTTTATATCGATGAATCAGAATTTAAAAATAAAATCACGTATTTTTCTCAATGGACGATGACGCAGCTAAGATTTTTTTTAAAGATTCATTTCCTGTATAATTCGTAGAAAAATCATTAAAAAGTTACTTATTCCCCCGACTTAAGATTCTCGAGATAGCTTTTACACGGGAATAAATTAGATTTTATGGTTATATCCGCTCTAGTTTTCGCTGTATGGATATATATAGGTTATCAGTAATCACGTTTTATCGAGGTATTCCTCGGCTTCTTTCTGTGTTAAGCATAGTTTGCGAGAAACTTTGAGGAGAAGAGGGTATGAATGCATCGTTGGTATGAGAAGTGCTGAGTTCGAAGTCTGATTGTCTCCGGTATTCCGTGAAATTGACGGCATTTGGCAGCAAAAAAAAAGGTGTGAACATTACCTGAGATGATTGATCGAACTTCCACAGACTGAACGAAATAATGGAAAAAGGTCTGAAGATTTCATTCCGTGCGTATTTTAAAACCCGTAATGCCCGCTATTATACAAATTGAGATCTTTCAGATTTTCCTAATAAACTTCCCTTTTATGGGCCGCTACCGGAATAATATCTATATTTTTGAATGTATGTAATGTGTGCGAGTGTAATAATAATAAATTGTAAAAAAATTGTCACCGGTTAAACGGTTCGTTAAATAATAATTTGACTAATGCAGTTAATATGCAAATTAGCGGAGAGGTTTTAAATAGGTTTTATGATAATTGAAATTTTAAAAATGTCTGTCTGTCTCTCTTTTCCCTCCTCCTCTTCGCTTCCTGACCCTGCTTTAATTCCAGAGTTATGTATATAGAAGGGGGAACGTAAGTAGAAACTTAATTAAAGCTTAGAAGATTAATCTCTGTTTAGCGAAAGTCACGCCGTATGTTTATGCAGTATGGGGAGGTTTAGTTTTAAGTATGTATAACGTGCTTCTTAACTGGTTACTCGGCTAAGATGGTTGGAGTTAGGTAAATTGTTTATAGCTGTGTTTTTTTTCATTATTCAGACCCTTGTAATTCCACTAATCAAAGCATTGTTAACAAACATGTGGTTGGTGTGGTCCCGCGTGTACCGCTGTGCCAGCCAAAGTGTTACCTACTTTAGCAGTGATTAATTAACTGCTGTGTAGCGGCGTTAATCAGTTCTCTCGCTTGTACGTTGAGAAACGACCTTCTCCGAGGCAGTCAGGTGCGATTATTGAACGAGCAGGTGAGCGAGAAGGCCCTTTCTGGGGGCACTAAATCTCCAACTAAACTTCTAATTATTATAATTCGGCATAGAATAAATTTTTCCACCATTTTCTAACTTTTCGGGACGGATTTAAACGTGTAAAGGAAACTCCAGCCACTAGAGATGTATATATTTTATTATTAAGATAACCCTCTAAAGATTTTATCTAACTTAATTTCGTGGCTTAAATTATGCATCATCTATAAAAACGAGAGGGATTTTTTTTCTTTTTTTTTTTGTTTTCGTTCGACTCGTCCCCTACTGCAGAACCCGTATTTGTTTATCTTATTTAACCCCATTGGCGGATATATATTACTTTAGAGACTCGCGATACGGAATTAAATTACCTACAATTCATCTCGGTGCAGATTTAATCAAAATTCTCGACTTGTTCCACTCGTAGTTCTACCTCGTCTTCTTCAGTATGGATGGCAACAATGGCGAGAGATTCCTAGCTTTCTTGTTCATTCTCGCGAGACTTTCTTCGCCTCACCTTCAAGGACAAACTCGACCTTAATTAGTTATGAATATATTAGACTAGGGAAAAGGAATAAATGACTATTCTAACCCTCGGGTATCCGTATTGTATAACACTGTCCAGTTTAATTGAGTGTGTTGTATCTGTGGCAAAATGCCAGCACTCTTGCTTCATAATGATGTTTCCTGACTGTATTATCCTGATAAGTCCTACTTTAGATTAAGTAACTGATTACCTCCCGCTTGTTTGTCTAAAACGAGGACAGGGTAGAAAAAGCTGCAGCATCTTTATACATCTCTTTGTAGGATATCCGAAAGGCGTGACAAAGGAAATCCATTTGCTTCACCTCTCTTTCTCTTACTCTCTTTCTCGCTCTTTCACTCAAATACTTTTTCCCTTTTTTTTCAAGAAAGATATAAGAAATCTTATTTAAAAATAAAAAAAATATTAATTTTCTTTTTAAAGTTTATAAAACTGGGTTTTAAAATATATCAAAGTAAACGATGAAAGGTGGGTTTCTTTTTTAGTTTTGTATGTTAAAGAACAATAGGATACGTTCGAAGACTGAAAGTTCAATAAATTACATATACTTTTAATGATTTTACTGATGTTGCTTTTAGATTTATTGCCTAAAAATGGCCAAAAAATTAAAGTATTTTTTTTGGTATAAATTTTGCTTCCTTTTTCGTATTAAAAAATTTCGTAAAAAAATATTAATTTTTATCGTTTAAAACAGTTATTTTTTATGAGAGGAAAGTAATGAATAACGTGAGTTTTATTCGACATAAAGAAACAATGTGACTGGAAGTTTAAGTCAGAAAATGTAGTCGAATAGACGAAATTTGATATTTCATTCAACTTTTAGTGAAATCTAAGAAAAAATAAATAAATTTTAAATGTTTTTTTATTTTTAAAAAACGTTAAAAATTAAATATTTAAAACTTCAAAATAGAATTTCTTAAAATCTGAAACTATAACTCAAGCGAAAGATCAAATATTTCAATTCTACTCGCTTTATTCCAGTTTTAATGGGGCATTTTTTTTTCTTTTTGAGGAGGAATGTAGGAATTTAATAGAAAGTATTAATTTTTAAAGAAAAATTTTATATAACGTAAAATATATAGGCCTATATATAAAGTTATTCTTTAAAACGCGAAAGAGTAAAGTGAGTTTGTAAAGAGTAAAGTTGAAACTAGAACTTGACTCGAAAATATCAGTAACTTTAAGTCGAAAAGTGAATCGCATATAACAGGAAAAAAAGAAGGAAAGGGAAGTAAAACTAAGTCGAAAAGTAAGTTGCATAAAAGAAAAAAGAAGTAAGGTTGAAAAGTAATATCTATTCTAGAAGTGAGGTCGAGAACAAAAATGAAAGTTTAATTCGCTTTAAACTAGGTTAAAAATATATATTTTTTAACGTTTTAGATTTAATTTTAGTTCAGAAAATAATTCATTTAACGATTCTAATTGAGAAACTTAATAAAAAATAAAAAAAATTTTTCAACTGTTAAAAATATTGGGTGGAGCACACCACTCTCCACCACGTACTGTACATTACTACAATACATTTACACATCTAAAATATCATTTACAAACGATATTGCTTATTAAATTTCACTTTTGATAGGTATTTTAAGGATTGGGGTGGCCCACACACACACACACGCGCGCGCGCGCGAAATATCCATGTCCAATTGAATTACTGATTAAATTCTACGTCTGTATATCAGATTTCGGGGCGAGGAGCATAGTAGAGATGGGGTCACCCCCTAAAACGTCATTAAAATGCATTGTTATTGGATCTAAATACCGTATGTTCTCAGTTTCAGCCTTCTATCTTAATTAGAAGTGTACGAAATTTGAGGACACCATATAAAAAAGCTTTTTAATAATAATAATTAGTAAAAAAAAATGTGAGTCGGGATCAAAAATGAAAATTTGAATCAATTTAAACCCATTTTACTTATTATTTTTTAAGATATTAGCTTAGAAGGGAATTTATTTAACGATTCAAACTGGTGTAAAAAGTATAAAAATAGTAATAAACTAAGTCTGAAATCCTGTAATCCTAACCGAAACCATCATCCTACGATAGCAAGTAATTGGAAAATCTGAATAGGAAGTGCTAGTTGCTAGAAGCGTTTATAATAATGTGTATACACATAAGAGCAAAAGTATATGCATTCTGTTTATTAAAATCGACACTAAGTAAACTTGACAAATCCGTCGGTTATCTCAGTAATTGGTTAAAGTAAATTTTTGTTTTGTTTTTCTTCTTATAATTTCCCATTGAATGAAATCCCCCGCGACTTCATTTGCATAACATTACTTAAATTAAAATGAATTTGTTAAAGACGCTTACCTTAAATTAACCTTTTGCGTATAAAAGAATTTTCAAATTTAACTTCGCTTGATATTCTTTTTTTTTTTTAATGAATTTTTAATTAAATTTAGTTTATTTAACGATTTTCAAATTATTAATTAAATTTTGATATATACATTTTTTAAAAAAGTACGGGTATTATTCTGTATAATTGAGTTAGACGACATGGGAAGATGGTATTCTTCAGGTCCT